CTTTCGGATTCGTAATCTACGCATCAAAACACGTAAGTATACTCAAAAATTTTTTTCAAAATCGACGGTGCCCTCAAAACGAATATTTACCTTTTCATGTTTTTTCCTGTATGTTCTTCGTATTTTTTATCAAGTAAAAAGTTGTGATTTCAGAATTCATTATTGGCCAAAATCATGAATTCTTCATGCTTCTCCAGGATCAGCATTCAATTATGAAGCACCCCGTATTTCAAAGTCTACAGTACAGACTCGTATCACTCTGGATGAGGTTTAGACTTTGTCTGAATAACTACCAGATTTCTACAGACGCTTGATTCATTACACCAGCTGATGATTATTTTACATTAGCGATATAATACGTTGTCAACATACGATACATGCACCTAGATTTTCTTTGTTGAAAAAAGTATAAAAACTTACCATGCAAATCAAGTAGAGTATTGATAAAACACAAAAACTGTAAACATTCATCATCGTCACAAAATTAAAAACCTAGGTACAAAACCTACAACGTACCACTCAACTGCAAAACCACAACTAATTTGCTGAAGTTTAAAAAGATAGTAATTCAACTCGACAAGAAATTGTCACTAACGGCATTCGCTTTCTTCTTTCTATGTACGGAGCTCCTAAAAAAAACTACCTGCTTAGATAAGGATAGATATGCATGTTTCGTTAGAGATACCAAAAGTAAAAAACAAGTACAATCACCTTGTCTTCCTCCAACCTCAGTTGCTGGTCATCAAAAGCAACAATTCATTAGAACCAGTCTCTACTCTAGCTCATGTGAGCTTGCTTCTTATCAACCTGTCAAAGAATTAGAGTCTTGTTGTCGAGAACATAAAACTAAACAGATCGCTAGTTGTTTGCCTGTCTATGAGCAGCAAAAACTTGTAAATTCCTTCTATTAATGACTAATATAAAGCTAAGAAGGTCGAAAGTAATCAGGTCATTTTTTCCTTTTTCTAAAGAAAGGATTGTTTCATTGATTTCGGGAGTATATTTATGCTTACAAAAATATTACCATATCCACCACGAGAATATGCAACTAAGTACTTTCGCAAAGTTCTAGAGGAACACTAAGAAAATTGATGTATCAAAAAAATCCAAATGAGATTTTCACTTGACAGTGGAACTTGGGGTTTAGGTCCGAAACAAAACACTGGATTCATGTGATGATTGTCAGAATAATGATACTCAGAGCAATTGTCTAGTGGCCGGAGGCCACTAGACAATTGCAGCACTAGCAGAGAGTGGGTAGATGTACTGCATAAAGACTTGTGGACATCGCTGATTGCACAAACTAATTCAAGGCAGGGTACACTAGACTACTGGTGGACACTGGAAGTCACAGTGCTCTGGGAATAACCTCTGACATTATGCCTCCAACTGTCAACTATGAATTGCCTTACACAGTACTATTCCCGAGTAGAAAGGACTGGATCCTCCTGGAGAAGGAAATATTAGGAGCAGTTAGTTGTTGGTCCACAGATGGATCAAAACACCTTCAGGTTCTGGTGGAGGTATTTTTCAGTCGCAGACCAAAGACAGAGATATCTTGCCTTGCCTTGCCTAGAAACCTGTGCGACTGTATTTCAAGCGGAAATCTAATGCTTTTGAATTGTATGCGGAGAGATTGGTAGAATCCAACCTCACACACAAGTCAATAAAAATTTTAGGAAAGAAAGTTTTTGGCTTTCTACTACTCCATCTTGATACAAAAAAAGGATGAGGGAATCTTCCAAAAAAAAGGAAGAAAGTAATCAATTTGAAAATAAGTAACTCTATACATGGAAGTGTAGATCATGCAAAAAAAAACTTTCAGACACAAACTGAAAGGAAGTCCTCCTGAAACAGCTACTTTCATATAAACATTAAATTTCACGAAAAAAAAATCTTTCGAAAAAAATACTTCTATATGAACACTGAATTATACAGAAGATGCTTTTCTCTATTCAGTTTGTATTTCAAACATTCGTTGTGGAATGAAAATCAGATATCATTCACATGAGTTCTACTTTAAATGAATTATAACAATTTGCACTTACATGGAACACTGTCATCCTCACTGGTATACATCGATGTTTCGCCGTAAGACACTTGCCTCAAGGCTCTTCAGTACCAAATTGGATAACATTATAGAAAATACACACAATTCATTTATGCATTACGATTTTTAATGTCACGGAATAAGCTTGATGTGCTTATGTCATCGATGACATCTTAAAAATATAACCCCTTCAATTCAATAAAAATATTCTCGAACAGACAAACGGCGTTGGAAGTTTCTTGCTCCTACCGAGCAATTTCTAAATTGGTAGCAAATTGCCAAAATTGACTCTGCTCAATAGAACGCTTTTTGAGTTTTTCGCTAGAACTGGAAATACCGTATATTTTTTTGAAGAACAAACAAATTGGGTTTCACTGTCGTACCTTGCCTCAAATTCTTCTAGTGGTTCGTCCACCCCAAAAAATCCTTGGAGAACATTATAATTCTCCATTATTTCTTTCACTATCTCCCTTGGGTACGGGACGAAATTCTCACAGAAGGTGGACCCATTTGCACAAGGTGGAATACCATCTGTTTTAGGGAGGATAACACTCGATTCGTCTTCCTCAGGGAAGACAACATCTACCTCAGGAGATCTTGAAAAAAATATGCGTAATGTAAATTCAACAGGACACATTCAAAATCCGATACAATAGTAATAATGAGAAAATAATAATGATGCTTTGTTAGAACTGTTCATTCACCACCCTCAGGCTTATACAAGCTAATGAGACTCATGTAGTCCTTCTCGACCACCAGAGCAAGACGATATTTGTCGTAGAGTTTTCAGCTCCTGGCGAGACGAATATCGTCTAAATAGAAGGGAGGAAAAACGAATAAGATATCAATATTTTCTCTTCGAACTTCGCAGACTCTATCCCGACCACTCTGTCAAGATGGTTGTTCTGATTATTGCCCTACCTACTGTTAAACCTCAAGATAATACTGACTTGCTGCACTCAGGCAGAAATCTTAGCCGGACAATTATGCAAGGTTATCATTCTTGGCTCACTGCGCTTGCTTAGAGCACATGATTCTCGTACCAATGATCACTTAGCCTCTGTGTGGGGACTGGTCATTGATCGATAATGCTGGCGCGCCCTCCAGACTGTGTCAGAGCTTCGGGGCTAGGGAAAAAATAATCATCACTCCACAGTGACGGAACAATAGCACACAACAAACCAACTTCATACACAAGTTTTCAAAAATATTCTCATTCAACGGAGCAACGTCCAAATTGATAGGCAATTCCGACTTTCCTCAATTGTCTCTGCTCTGGATTACTGACCTGGTAGGCAATGAGACTGCTGACCTTACAAAGGAGGATGATGCTGCAAGCAGCTTCATCTGACAGGCTTTGTCGAACAAGCATTGAACACCTAGATGGCAAGAAGATGAATGGACTTCTGGCAAAACCTTACAGGGTTGGCTTACTCCAAGGCGTTCATTCACCCTTCAACGCTTGGAACCAAACAGTTATTGGACTACAGTGGCAGGAACTACGATGTCTAATAGGCCTTCTGAAACATTATATGCAGAGACTCGGACTGTCGAAATACAGTGTATGTCGCCTCTGTTTGGCAAATGATGAAACAGCAGAGCACATACTTTGTGCTTACCCCGCTGCGAACCGAATCAGGTTTTCAGAGATTGGCAGAGCCGCACTCTTACCATCCGACCTGAAAAACTACTCATCATATAAACTAATCGGCTTAGTGTGAATAGGTGTGAGCCACAATAAACCCTTGTAGGTAAAGGATCGAGTAGACCCACTCACTTTTGACATAACCTTACCTAATCACTCGAGAGTTTTCAAAACTGCGACACGTGTTTCGCTATACAATAAACTCTTCAGGATCATAGTCATTATAGTGGATTAACATAAAGTATCAGTCAGTTCTATCATATTTTTGGATTTCATGTACGGATTTATTAATTTTGGGCCGCACAGGTATATCCAACATACACAATTTACACTATGGTGTAGTTGGCAATGAACCGAGCAGCATTTCGTTATTGATTTATGGATTGGTATCTCAAGTGAAGCACCAACATCCAACATACCTGGAAAATTAGACGGGCAAAAGTTTTCACAATTTTTGCAAAACAATTTGTGTGGTTTTGATTCTTCACGTATTCAAAAAACACTTCATTGTGAGATTTTCACTAAACGATTTTACAAAAACGAAACACGTGTTTCGCCATACAATGGCTTCTTCGGGCACGTCTTTACTAAATAATTCTACATAGGTACTCAATGCTGAATATAACTTATTCTACAATTTGTATTCGTTATATATATGGAATTAGGAAGTATGAACATGTGTCCCACAAGCTTGCGGAACTGAACTGGTTTAACATGAAAGATAGGTTCAAATTTCATTCATTATGTTTATTTCATAAAATTATATTATACGGAAATCCGCCTTATTTATATCGTAAAATAACATTCAGGACAGCCGTATACAACATAAATTTGAGAAACAAAAATGTAATCACATGTCCACAACACAAGACCGCAATTTTCCAGTAAGTACCTGATTTTTACCTGAATTTGTAATGAATTAAATTACTTGAGCTTATGTTCCAGTTTCCACGGTTTAAATTTCTAAATTCCCAAGAATCAGTAGAGCCGCCCCGTAGGTTCGTTATTTCATCAGCATATTGCTGGGATGGTGGGTTGTCTAGTAAGCAGGAGTAAATAAAACCGAGGAGATTTTCACGGTCAGGATTCAAAAACGATTCTGATGAGTATCTATCGTAAAGCCAACACAAAAGGAAGGTTCTAGCAAGGGACTGTCCGATACCTAAAAACATCTAAGGTTTTTTGGACAAGAATAATAAGATCACCTATGAAAGACTCACGTCGAGCACTGTCAGACCGTTTATTCATTTTTTTGTTGGTAAAAAAAAGCTTTCAAGGCATATTTATCTGGTAATGGGAGAAATTCTTCGGAAAAACTATAGTTGCATCATACATATCATTCTTTGAGATATGAGAGATGAGAGAGAGATATATGAGATATGAGGAGAGACTTTAGGGAGTGCCAACGGAGAGCCGTAGCAAGTATATAAAAAAAAATATCAAAAATGATGATAACCCGTAAGTAGAAGCCCTGATAATGTTGATATATTTTAGAGCGGTCTGAGTACTGAAATTTACAGTTCATTCCTAAAAATTAGAGGATAGTTTCAAGCATTTTACTTTTCTTTGTGCACCTAAGACAGCTGTTGACGGGGGTAATAATTATCGAGTTTGATTGAAGTTAATCGAGAAGTAGATTCTGGATAAATTAAGATTCAGGCAGTTACTTTTAACTGCTCATTTGTTCTCTTATTTTCAATTTACGTAAAGGTCTATCTCTGTCAGTTCAATACTCGAATCTTTTGATTCGATATTGTTCCGAAGTAAGAGTTCTCCATCAGTAATATCGTGATCAAAACGGCCTATAGCGGCGTATCAATATATTTACTGTGAACGTTTTTTTGTATCAAGTATTGGTTCTTTGAACTTGATGTATATATATTTGCCTGTTTTTTTACATTAGTTCATTGCAAATAACGTATGAAAATCAATTTTTGAGTTATTA